ACTCTACAGACTAGAATGGGGCCTCTGCAGGTCACCATGGACTCTCCGCAGTCAAAAGCATTCCTAAGGTCAAAATAGGCCCTCTGCACGCTAGATGGCTCTTAGATGCTACATGTATGTTACATGGCTAGAATGGACCCTCCACAACCGACAGCGGCTCTTTTTATATTTTAAAAGCACCGTGCCAAAAACACAAAGACAACTGAAATGTAATGCGGAATAACCACCAAACATCTCGTTTCGGGGGTTCATTTGCACCAAAGCGTCGTTTTCTGGCCATCAAAGATGCACGGTGGTTGAGACTTAACTAATAAAATTATAAGATAAAGGCATACCTAACATAACCAACCTACACGCACATGGTTTTCTATTCAGTTGAGGCGGGGGGAGTATTATTTCTCCTATTAAGCGATTTTTTTTTTGGTCTCATTTTTCATTCCTTATATATCTTTAACAAAAATTGTTCAGAGTTTTGCCCCGCCCCCCCCCCCCATGAGACTAATTAGCCCTACATTTAGGGATAACATTGTTCTGCAAGCACCTAAAAACAATATCACTTTTGGTTTTGTTACACTATCATAAAACCACCTGTAGTCCTTCTCACAAAGGCAGTTTTTTGTAAATTTGTATTGTAGTTTGTTAATTAGTATGTGTGGTTGTAAAAATGTGCTTCATAAAGCAGAAACCTACAAACAACAAGTACAAATTACAAACCTACAAAACCACACACAAAAATTGACAAATCCCTCGATAATTTCTACAATCTTACCCTGGTATGTTTCATAAAGGCCAGCTGATTTTCCAGCCGCGGTGCATTTGTAACATTAAAAGTACAAAGTACAACTACAAATCAACGATGGCCTACCCCGTTGTAGAATAGGTGATCGTAAGCTTAAGGCAATGCCACTAGCGAAAATGGATTGTGGACGCAAAGCTCGCAGAAGAAGGAGGCTTGCAAGAATCCCCCGGGGCAAAATAAACAAGAACTCAGAGGAAGTGGAAGGACAAACATGCTCGCAGAACGCAGCGCTCAGAGGAAGCAACCCAGTGATGGTGTTGATGGATTTAATCATCTCTAACTCCGCGTATGGCCCAAGTATGGCGCGTATGGTGCAACCATGCGTGCAGCAAATTCATTCCTTTGCGCTGTTACCACCACTATAAGTGACCTTGGCAGCCGTACCGATCCGATCGAAATCCTGCGTTGTCTTGTGCTCGCGCGCTGAGGGGGTGGGAGGGTATTGATACGATGGTGATTATTTTCCGTGAGTAGGCCTACTGGCATCTAAGTCACTGCCAGGTTGGAATGGCTGTACTAATAGATTATGAAATGTCTTGATTTCAAGTGCAGTTTCTACTCCTGCAAGCGAAAGCATGTATACCCATCCTACCAAACTGCGGGCATGCGACGACATACACCTTGACGCCAAACAGAGACAGCTATCGCCAGGTGTGAACGATGCATGAATCCCATGTCTGTGTGTAGAATATAGGTGTCTATCATGGTAACAGAACGCTAGTATTATGCTGGTTCACTAAGTCACTGTTTCGCTAGTTGCCATGACGGTGCCAATATTCTGTGTGTTTACTTCTGCTTAAAACTGTAAGACGCACGGTGAATATAATGCTAAATGTACTTGATTGCTGTTATTGGGGAACCTAATGTTCTGTTCCTTGACACTTCCGATACATTTCTTTTGTTTTTGTTTACAAACCGTGGTATTGATGATAATCCATATCATAATTTGTTTTTTTTCTGCACTCGTCGGACATTAGCAATGTCAGCTGGTGGGTGAAACACTGGAGGGGGGGGGGGGCATCATTGGATTTCCTGTTAGTGGAATCCCGTGCGACTCAGCACAGGGTAATGACGTCACTGGTGCCCTGTGTCATTGGCCCCTACCGCTGCCGTGGCGTCTCCATCCGCCGTGGCGTAGCGGAAACGTAGGGTAGATGCAGCATTCAGAGTGATCGGAGGCAAGGCAATTAATAGTCCTTCAAACTTTGATTAGGAGTATCAAGCAAGGTAGTACTAGTTCGGTTAGTGTTTCTATTATGCTGCAAGCAGGGGCGTCACCTTTTCTAAGTGGTTGGGGATAAGCCCAGGACCCAGGTGAAATGCATATTTTGTGATAGGGTGAGCCATTTTCCGCACTCCCCCACGAACAAATCATTCAGCGGCATTACGCTCTTGTGAGGAACTGTTAGCCTAACCTCGCCCTAAAGACATCTTTACCGGCTCTTAGGCCACTTGACGTTAATGTACCGTAGTTTTTCAAGTTAGTCGCACGCGAAAGTCCTTCATTTTAGTAGAACGGTCATCAACCGCAGGTCAGGGCTGAAGAACGTCCCTGTGATATTTTTATTTTCCGGAGATTTTGTAGCATTGGGGTCAAAAGTTTTGTGAAGGGGGAGGGGCAACCAAATATGGTAGACGGGTGTCAAACAAGGGCCCTCACAAGCTCACAAAGGTAACGAACCGACTCCTGCCTACAATATCGTGGTCTTCAAACCCTGCTGCCGCTGCTGTTTGATTGTTTGGGAGGAGCACAGTCAAGGGGCGCTCCATTCTGCCCACAGGTCTTCATCTTTACCACAGCGCTCTCAAAAAAAATAAAATTAGCGTGAGGCGTTTTCGCCGAGGTATGCTCCCACCCTCTCAAGAAAATCTCGGTTGTGCACCTGCTGTTGGTACGAACTAATGACAAGTAGGCGCGGAGGCAAGCTAAGCACAGATGAAAAAGGGCCACTTTGTCTTATCATGGAGCCACAGCGCCTGACGAAGAATTCTGCGTCAGAAAGGGAATCCAAGTCGGCAGCGGGCCCGTTTGCTAGAAAGGAGCAGTGACGTGACCTGGAATATCAGCGGACCTCTTACATTGTTGGGGCCCCCGACAATAAAAGGAGATAGGAAATAGGACAGTAATAGGGCCCGAATTGATTGACACAGTGGAATGGTTATGTGTCGGACATTGGGCACAACGACCAACAAACGACCTTGCTCCGTTTTGGCTAGGGGCCTGATTTTGTTAAAAGTGTTCCCTGTGTCATTTAGTAGGTCCCTGTACCTGCAAGAAATTATTGCGCGTCACTGAAAGCCTCTACTCCGAGTCGCACTAACTGCTCCCGTCAGAGGACGCCCAGCGTCATAAAGAAGACCAGTGTTTCCTCAGAGGGCCTCTGAATCGATCATGAGGCCCGGCACCCGTGTCACCAGAATGTTACACCATAAGTTTTTTGTGGCCCCCAGTGTTTCACTGACGGCGACGCCTGAGCGAAACAACTATGTGGTGCCAGTGTCCTTTCCATGGCCCCTTCATTAAAACGCCCGTCGGAAGAAGTGGATAAAAACAGAAACGAAAGAAAAGAAACTTTGGTGCCCGCTCAAAACTTAGACACTTTCACCAAGGGCCTTCCATAAAGCCCTGTGTCACCAGGGCCCTCCACCAGGATTACGGGTGCGACCCTGGGCACGTGCACACGAGTGACACAGAAACCAGCGCTGGAAGAAGCGGGGACAGCGAGAACGGCGGGCCCGACTACGTGAGCCTGACTGCATGCATTGACAGCTACGTTCCGCTCAGTATGGGCGATGTAATTTAGGTCAGGTTTACTGAATTTGCGCCGAACTAATCGTTTAATTACGCAAGGTATTTTTAGGGACGGAAGGAAGAAAGGGTGGCTTTTCCCAGCAAATTTGGCATGCAGTGCAGCTGTGACCAACGGAAACGCAAACGTCCAGATCGTAATCTGCATCGCACGGTCCTGCGCGCGGCTCTCGCTGAGACTCCAATGACGTCACGTCAACGTTGGGCATATGGGGTGCTAAAAAGTCGGCCAGTCGTACTCATTATGGGTCCTTGGCAAGGCCGGTGATTGGCGGCGACAAATTACGCACGGCGCAGAGTTTTACGGCTACAATTCTTCAACCCGCGCTAGTTCTGTGAAACAGTTGTAAGTTGTAGTTTGTAAATTATAAATTACAACTTACAAACACAAACTATCTGTAACAACTCTTTGTGAGAAAGGCTACTGGAAGCATTGGCAACCTTCATTATCTTTGCGTAACCGTCAATGGCACAGAACCCGCGCTTCCCATCGTGCTCCCAATTGATTAGTGCGAAACCCATGCAACATTGGTATCAGCAGATGCAAACGAAATTTTTGAACTCCTCACCCACCGTCATTTAGTTCGATATACAATACGATGACAAAAAATAGCGTTTTATCTCACGTCTGTCTTCTGGTTGGGACGCTAAGTCTGAGGTGCGGCATGGGCGTGAGAGGCCTGCACCAGCATTTCTTGGCACTTTTTTCTCAGAGCCGCTGTTCCTCTCAGCGGCAGAAAGGCCCGGATAAATCCTTCACACGTACTGCTCCAAATTCCCCCGTGGAACCCGACAGCTACTGTTCGGGTATCCACAAACAACAAGCTTCCTAGACTGGCAGGGGTTTTTAACCGTATTACTAAGGACGCTTTCTTTGGGAGATCCTTGGAAAAGCCGCACAGTGCCTCACAGTGAGTGCTCCACATTTCCATGCGGCTTTGAACTGGAGCAGACATTTTTCTCTTGATACAACTCATGGTCATGCCCTTTTTAAGACCTAAAGCCCTCTGTTAAAAAATCACCCCGGTTTAGCTGAAAGGCCACAAAGATGTAGGAGAGTAGGTTGGGGAAGTGCTTAAAGGTCGCCTTGGCAGTCATGAAGTCATAAAAACGTCATTAAAATCATGCCAGTTAATAAGTCATGCGGTGGTCTAGACCAAGCAAAATGTAATGGACGGATCGTTCATGCCTGGCGTTCGTGAGCACAATCGCCAAATATAACGGCCGTCTAGTGCCTCTCAATCCATTCGTAATCAAAGAACATTATTTCTGGGCGCATGTTTATCAGATATATTGTGTTGTCTGGAACGGTTTTTTTCTTCCTTGACGTACATGATTATTGATGATTACTGATGGTGGTTACTTCAATATCTGGGAATGTGAAGCATTCCCTTTAAAGCAAAAACTAATAACTTGTTACATTTTCCGGACAGCCAGCATTTCACAACATGAACACAACCAAAGACAGCTCACAGCCCTGGTCTATTGTAATTTGTTTCCAATTTAGCAATTCTGTCAGCATTTGGCTGGTAAAAGTTTCCTTTTTTCACCAATCATATCCGGTAAATCGGAAGCTTTTTCACCCCTGGGGTCCCTTTACATGCCAGAATGGAGTCTCTTCAGTGGGTAATAGACCTTCTACAGATCACAATGGATCCTCTACAAGGAAAAATGTACCATCTCCAGGCTGACTTGTCGCTCCGTGATGATAAATAATTATCTACATTCCAGAATGGGCCCTCTACAACCTGTGTGACCCATCTAGGTGCAACCAATCTAGGATGATGAACACTTAAGGCGATAGTGGGCTCTACGGGCCTGAATAACATATATACAGACCAGAATGAGTCATGCGCAGGGAAGAATGGTCTCAACAGTCAATGATGGATCACCTAGTAGTAATAACTGGCACATGGATAAAGTGCTTCCACGTCGATCCCAAACAGTCTAAGGGTTCTTGGAAACTAAAGATAATAAACCCGATTAATGTGCTCAAAGAGCCCCGACGGGTTGACCAGGAGTCATAATAACCAATCCCGGTCGTGCGGACAAGGACCTTCGAATGTCATTAAGAACACCTCCTGCACCAATCCCTGGAACAATTCATGGTTCCCATGCTCGCCAGAGTTCGTAGCTGGTGATATTGCGCCAGAGGCTGATGAGAAGACACTGGTTATATGGCATCGGATAGGCTCGCAGTTCATACAGATCCTCACGTGCCCACTGTTGGATCACTGACGCGTACATCCTGCGCACGGGTTCGTAGAAGACATTGGCGAGAGAACCGCCTTCTGGTTGCTCGGGATGTACGTGAGATGGCGCAGGGGTGGGGCGCCCACCTGAAAACCATTATGTTGCGTGCTAGTCGTGGTTATTCATCTTGCAACGATGAATGTGTGGGCGGCGCCGCCGGCCGCCTTTGTCGCTGTGTTGGAACGGCATCGGATTGTGCAACAGGTTTGGCTGACATTTTCTCCAACTCGTCGGCTGAGCGAGGGTCGGTCGCCTCAGGATGACTGGGGGCCGTAACCCGAGGCGCGTCCTATTACGGACTGGTCCTGGCGCGTGCTTTCTTTGTATGACACGGGTAAAGGGCCTCGGTCAAACACCAGGGGCCCATTTACCTAATGCAAATGGAAACGGCACAGCGATGTCACCGGTAGCTCGCGTCAGGCGGGCCCTTTGACTACGTCATGGACCTCGATGGGAGCACGAACACTCCGGCAACTGATATATACTCCGGCAACGGCAACTCTGGCTGCTCAGGGGCTCGCTGGAAACTCAGAGCATGACTGGAAATCGCGTGGAGCCCCGAAAGAGACCTCTTCCCGTGGGCCCGGAAACCCTCATGGGCTGTTGGTTTTGAACCTGGATTTCCGGGAATTTCAAAACGGGGAATCCGAGGAAGATGTCCGATGAGTCTCTAGATGGCTCCATATCAAGACCCTTTTCGGGGTGCCCGGCTTAAAACACAGATGACCAACGGAGGCCTTGATGTCAACACCATGGCACCTCTCTGCTGAAATGCATACCTACGAAAAAAAACGGAGCCCTTGATCGACCAGGGGAATCCGGCGAGATAACTTAAATCCGCGGATCGAGATGGAAGGTGCCGACTGCTGATATCGCAATGCATGGACGCTGGACGGGAACCTGAGTGTCGGCGTTCTGCTGATGCTGAGACCAGGTGATCGGCATCCATTTGTTTTGCTAATTTGAGCGTGGTTGGATGATATCGGAGAATTACTAGAAACCATGAAAAAAGAGAAATCGCGGGTACAGTGGACAAACCATCATCTTTTGAGTACAAACAGCAAACTCATGATGCGACCGTGTGGTTCAAATCTGACTTTTGCTATGATATAAAAGTCAATGGCAAATGGGTTGCGTCTCTGAAATAATGTGTATACGTTTCCTGAGTCCATCTCCAATGAATCGGAACGCACAGACAAAGAAATTGGTGTTACCTGTTGGCTTTGCCGCAGTCATGTCTCGCGTGGTCTGCATTGATGACCTTAAGCAGGCGGCACTGGCCCGTCTGGACAAGAAGGCCCTGGGCTACTACAACAGCGGGGCTGACGGAGAGCAGACGCTGAGGGACAACGAGGCCGCGTTCCAACGGTAAGAGCCCCGATGGGACTCAGAAATGGACCACTAACAGCGTTCAATGGTAAAAGTCGGGATGAGACTCAGAAATGGATCACTAACAGTGATCGTCCGAATGTGATATCACACATCCCGCACGAGAACATGAATCTAGGTAATGTCATTCCAATGACATGTGGAATCAGTTATAAGGTTTTTTTCTATGGACATGGTCCGTCGGCATAGCGAGGTCTCAGAATAGGATCACCAAAACTCTAGACATGAAATGTCGACCATCAACTTGATTAACATGCCTGAATTTCGCTACAGAGCTGGAAAATCCGTAAAGTTGGTTTAACCCATAAACAACAAATCATATCGATCGAGGATAACACTGCGGTGTTCCGCAGGTACCGCCTGCGTCCACGCTGCATGGTGGACATCTCCACCATTGACCTGACCCACACGGTACTGGGTCAAGAGGTCAGCATGCCCATCGGCGTGGCACCGACTGCCATGCAGGCGATGGCGCATCCCGAGGGCGAGTGCGCGACCGCCAGAGGTACGTGACGCTGGCCCACTGTCGTCAAGTCGGAGGTACCAGTGCCACATGTCCAGGGCACCAGCAAACTTCCCGGTCAGAGCACGTGCTGACCCAAGCACGGAAGATCCAACATCTGGTGCCTTGAGCACATGTTTCGTGAGAATAAAGGGTGGCCCTGCCGTTACTTGCGCCAACTTAAGAAATCGGAAGCAACCAATGTAGGAATAATCGGTTAGGAAACTGGGTTGCTGCGCTGTCGTGCTTTTGACGAAGCGGTTTTCCTTCGTCTCTACGCAATATGATCGACTTGCTTTGAAATTAACCTTGCTAGTGTTTCACAGCATATTAGGATCTAATGTTCATGCGATAAAGGCATATGTTGTCGAAGCCAATGAATGAATCGTTGCACGTATCGTGCCACCATGCGGAGGAGCCCGTAGAAAGATTTAAGCTGCTATCAAACGGCAGGACTGTTGATTGGATTCCTTGTTCACATTCCGTTGCTCTTCAGCGGCGGAGGAGATGGGGGCTGTGTTCGTCCTGAGCAGCGGGTCAAACAAGAGCATAGAGGAGGTGGCAGACGCAGCGCCACGTGCCATCAAGTGGTGCCAGCTGCACATCTTTAAAGATAGGTTTGTTGGTGTCAGGCAGATTACTGGCTGACTGACTACACTGACTGGACCATGCCTTGACAACGATACAATGCAACACCACTTCATTGGATTCATGATAGGCTTTCAATGAAATATAGCTGACGGATCAATGCATCCGTTTTTGCATAACCAGGAGGGGTCGTGTAAAAGTATTCCTCCGTCCAGGTCGACGACAGTGAAGATGGTTCAGCGGGCGGAGCAGGCCGGCTTCTCGGCCATCGTGCTCACCGTGGACGCTCAGGTGTTCGGTAAAAGGCTGGCCGATGCCAGGAACGGATTTCAGAGGCCTCCACACCTCAGGTAATAAATGACGTTTAAACAGTTGCGAATGCGGAGCTTGGAATGGAATAAATGAGAGGACATTGTCAAAGGCGGAGAAATTTCCTTCACGTAACTAAGTAGATGGCAGCGCCGTGTACCAAAGGCTGACCTTCACATCATACGACGAACAACGCAAAAAATCATCATTGTTCAGTGTTAAAAAGCCCACTTTTTCCACCACCGCCATCCAAGCATAACTTCATGAACACGCATACTGAAGGACGACCTGACAGTGATCAGCGAAAAGGTCCGCATTGATGCTTGACTGAGTGCTGTTGCATGTCCTATGACGATTTGCTGGATCTCTCAGATTGGGCAACTTTACATCGGACGTCGACAAGGCATGCCATCGGGGAGACAATGAGTACGTGGAGGCCTTGTTCGACTTGTCGGTAACGTGGGACGACCTCAGCTGGCTGTGCAGCGTCACTCAGCTGCCGGTGCTCGTCAAGGGCGTGATGACGCCAGAGGACGCCGCCGCCGCCGCCGACCGCGGCGCCAGCGGCGTCATCGTCTCCAACCACGGCGGCCGCCAGCTGGACGGCAGCCTGGCGACGGTGGACGCGCTGGGCCCGATGGTGGCCGCCGTCGGTCACCGCTGTCCCGTCTTCATGGACGGCGGCGTGCGGCGCGGCACCGACGCGCTCAAGGCGTTGGCGCTGGGCGCGCGCATGGTGTTCGTGGGCCGGCCGCTGCTCTGGGGCCTGGCGTACGACGGACAGCGCGGCGCCCGGCTGGCGCTGCAGATGCTGCACAGCGAGCTCCAACAGGCCATGGGACTCTGCGGTAAGCTATAGCATAGTATTGGAGGAGAGCTCATCACGGGACTCTGTAATGAGCTAAGGCACTGGACTGGAGGGGTGCTGGCTATGAGCTCTGTAATGATGCGTAGCAAAGGACTAGAGGAGAACTGGCCATAAGAATCTGTCATGAGTTTTAGCACATCACTGGAGGGAGCTGACTATGTAGATCTGCGATGAGCTGTAGCACAGCGGTGGAGGGGAGTTGGCCATAAAACTTTGGTAATCTATAGCACAGAGATAGGAGGGAGTTAGCCATGGGACTCTGCGGGGGACTATAGCACATGGCTGGAGCCGACTGTGGAACTTTGGGTATATGGAGCTCGTGGGAGCCACAGGTGCAATGGCGATGAGCTATGTTAGAACCATGAGAGGAAGTGGCCGTCAGCTGTGAAGTGAGCTAGGTGCAGGACCGGGGGTGATCGATCCATGCCACTCGGTGGTGATTTATAAACAAGAGTGGAGTGGTAGCGTTTAGCTGGCCATGTGACTGCGGTGAGATGTGCACAGGAGTGTTGAGGAGTTGGCCATTGGCCTGGGCACTAGGCCGTGGTGGGGGACTGGAAGGGGGCTGGCCAGGGTACTTTTTGGTGACGCTTTATACGGGACCACAGGGAAGCTGACCAGAAAGCTTTGTGATAAACCATATCGGAGGACCATGTGAGCTAACCAAGGCGCTCTGTGGTGGGTCACGCATGGGATTAGGAGCTGGCCATTCAATCGTGAGGTAAGCTCCATAGTCTGTGGTGACTAGCGACATGCGATGGGCTACATAGGCTCTTTAGTTGTAGGCTTCCTAGGACTTAAACGGTAGCTTGGCATGTGACAAGATGCGCGCCATAGACGGTGCCGGTGCTTACAACTCTGTTTTTATTTGCAGGTGTTACGAAGGTGGCTGATGTAACTGAAGACGTTTTCGAGCAATCAGAAGCGCTCACAGCTGTAATGCAAGAGACCCAAGAACCATGACCAACTGGTGATGTTCCCACATCTGCAGCACGCTGACGTCTGTTTTAGGGATCTGCACATCCTACCTGTTAGATAATTCATGAGACGACAAGGACCGTGACGCTTCGATGATGGAATATGGGATTTATTACAGAATGGGGTAGTGGTATGTTATTTGTCAGCTCAGTTGTGGTTGCCTGGGACTAGAGCTATGAACTTGTGGGCAATAGGATGTGCTCGATACGCAGTTCTCCGTGTTTAGCAATGATGTGTTTTACAGGTACCACGGAGGTGGCGAGTGGTAACCGAAAAAAGTCCTAGCGAAATTGGAGCGATCACAGGTGTGCCACACGGGGCTAAAAAAAACATTGAAAAAGGCCAAACATTCAGCACGTAAAAGCTAAGCAATGTTTTATGAACATGGAAGGCAAGCTGTTGCGTAGTTCAAAACACACCAGAACAGTGATGCGCGAACAGGAATGATAATGTGTACTGTGCAATGGTGCAATGGTGCTCCATTCGTCAATAAATAGGGACCAGTGGTCACAACATTGAAAAACATTCGCGGAACAAGTCCGAACTAAGATTTTGCTGGCATTTTGCCCAGTGGGAGCCCACAACAATTTAATGCGAATGTGAGCCCCATTTTGCGAAAGCCGTTATCGTTCAGGATTCAGGTCAAGGCGAACTGAAAGATACTGAGGTAAATCTCTAAATTACCGGTGACAAAGAAAAGGCAGCGACAAAAGAAGGGCCGATTGGAGCTTCAGGTTGATCGATGCATTCGTGGTGATAGCCGTTGATGTTCGAAGTGCTATCCAGTAACAAAATACGCAGAAAAGCGGAATGTCCACACTCGTCGCTAATGAAGGACACCGGTATGTGAAAATTGTTAATGTCAACATTTCGATACCAGAAGTGACTGATGGAACAGATGGTTGGTGAGACGCTGACGATGATTTTTTTTTTAAAGGAAGCAACACATTATGGATGGGGTGCATAGTTTCTGCCCCGACGGAACAGATGGAATGTGGCGAATGGTCTCTTTCCAAGGCTTTTATACCTCTTAGTGCTTTTTCCTAGAGGCTTGTGAGGATTCTATAAAGCATGTGTTTAGAAATTTGGAGGTTTTTAGGATTCTGGAGATCTTTACCGCGGAGAAATATAACGTTGTCAAATTACAATGCGACGTACTTTCGATGAAATTTAGAACAAGTGTTAAACTATCGTGGCTCTCATTGGTAAACGCGAACCAGAGCTTCCACTTTTGAGCCCGCACGCCCACAACACGCGAGCTTAAAAGACCCGCAGGGCTTTTGGCGGGTATTACTAACAGAATGGCGGGATTTCAAAATGATGATGTTTCTGAGCTGTGTTGGTTCAGTGCAAATGTAACATGAATTATCTATATGTTAAGCAAAATAACCAACCATAGAACAAAAGTTTCGCAAAATATGTGACAGCCAGGAAGCAACAGACCTAATGGCTAGCTGTTCCAGATACCAAGCACACTCCTTCATAAATAAATCTACCGTGGTCCTTTCAATACTTCCATTACCAGAAAAAACATGCATTTAGCACTGTAACGCTTCTGCTTATAACTGAGCCACACAAAATCCATTCTGAATGCTTAAAATCCCCACAGTTTACAAAGGAGCAAGACTTATTCTGAACCCATCAAGAAGTAGGGGTGAGCAAGGCAAAAGACCAGTCATAAAATATGGCACATGTCATGATAACACAAGGCAAAGGCACCATGCAAGGCAGGCATAGACGTCAGCACCATGCGTTACGAAAGATAATAATACATGAAATGTCTTCTATAACAGCAAATGTCCTTGGCTGAAAAAATCGTAAGTAATCTGAGACGCGTACACCTATACTCTTGCCTTGAAACCTTCATAATTACGATACCGAACGTCCGGGCGCTTCAGAGATGCAACACTCCCGACCCACCAGCGCTATCGCTGCGACGTGGCTAAATTGTTGCGCATCGAGGACTATAAGCAATATGCGGACCCACGTAACGATAATTGAATAAAGTATCCTTGAAACAGCCTGATGAGCGATATTGCACCATAAGTCGAGATGGAGCTGCACGAAGTTGTTTAGTTTAGGGGCATGTTAAAACTGGAACATAAGATCGAAGGCCCGGATCACCTGCAATTTCTCCTCGAAAAGGGCCTGATCAGAAAAGTAGAAAAGGTCCAGAATTTAGCCACACCTAATTTCACCTAATCTAGTCTAACAAAGCGTAACGTAACGTAACGTGACGTAGCTTAGCCAACCCTACTCGCACTCCGTCCACCACTCCTACCCCTACTCTTAATCCGACTTGTTATGACGCTTGCCATTCTCCACCTAGCCCCCTGTCACCTATCTTCTCGTTGATGTGTAGCGCAACATCATGTTGCGATGTCATATTTCTATCATATCAAGGCGCCATATAAGCTGCTTTGACCCATCAATGAGCAGTATGTAAAAGACCAACCATGAAAAACAAACGCTGACCTTGATCCAGCCGGATGGTCTCGATGCGTCAGCATTGTGCTATCCTTGTAACAGGCCGGCGCTTACCGTCGTTAGCGAAGTCAATAGATTTTGACGGTAATGTGATAAGATATCCTTAATATGTCTCTGGTTAGTTATCATTTATGGACCTCCATGTCCTAGAGACATTAATTGATGTATGATGTGCTTTTGCAGCGTAGGTTACAGATCTCGATGATATCCCTTTGACACCAAATCCGGTTGATAAAACAGCAGTAACAGCCTGAGCTGCGCTGTCTAAGGTTGTGCTGCGTGGTCCGTAGGCACTGCAGTGTAGTGAATAATTGTCTCACATGGCACACCTTGTCACATCAAAATGAAATGAGTGCTATTGTTGTGTGATTTCACCTGAAATTGCGGCAATGACAACCCGTGAATCATTGTGGGAAGCACATAATAACGTATCCACTACTTTTACGGCGTTATTGAGATGAGGCATTAGTATTACGGGTGCAGTAGATCTTTTGGCCATCGTCCTCGTGTGGTGTGTTAGTATGTGCATAATGTCTCGGCCACTTAATTATCCGGCCATCTTCAAATGTTACTGGGTTCTCATGGGATGTGTTTGGTGTTCGGATTGCAGCCCGGTACGCGTCATACCTCAGTTTTTATCCTTGGAATGGCTGGGATTCGGAACGGGGTTTTCTAATAACAAGTCGATCATTTTACCACTGAACTAACCAGAAAGGGCAGTCTTGCCTTGTTGGAGCTTCCTCGTATTCATCCCAATGGGCATTTGTAGATTTTGTTCGCAGAATTGGCAGCCATATCGTGATGATGATAGGTTTGGTTTACTGACGAATCTATTTGTCAATGTCACAGCCTGCTAGTCCTGCGTAAGTTTCCAGTGTTGCTGTCTGTCGGTGATGGTAAGCTCACCGTATGCTGATCGGTGGTCGCGATAGGTTCATGCATGCTCCACCACAGCGGGCTTCCGCTCATCCCCGATGGCTACCTTTCTGTTCTCCGTCAGTCTTGCCGACAACGGGCGAATTGTTTCTCCTTAAGCTGACCTACCATAACTGCATAAAATGTGTTATCCGTAGTTCTTCGTACCTTCCTTAGGTTTCGGTTATACTCACCTTGTCATATATTGCTTGGTTTGTTTATTTTGAAACGAGCACTTATATATTGCAGACTTTTATCCGACTCCGTCATCGACGCCGTATGAAAAGGCAACAGAATGTATTTTAGCCGACATGTTGTACATGCGTCAATGTACCCGGGCTGTGTACCACGTTGACACCGGAATCGACGCCAGCAGAATCGATTCCAGTTTCATTTACCGGCTGCTGAGCAAAATCCACTGTAATTCCGGGAATTGCGACCTGCTGCAAAGGAACAGTGATGATTCTTTCGCGTTTTGCACATATTGTGAGGGACTGTAAGGCCTCAAATAAACTTGAATGCTGCAAACGAACACGTCCTGCAGGGTATAACCTATCACTTAGCTATTTGCAACCAGCATATGCTTCACCTTCGACTGCAATGGAATACCATCTGTATTGCCACACCATGCATTCCAAACAAATCAGCGAGTTGCTAACCCCATTTTTCTTTCAGTTGCTAGTGCCCCAGCGCACTTAGCTAAGTGTGCACAGTCACCAATTTGAAAATGTCGATAAGGCAGGGCCCATGCTCTTGCAGGCTGTGTACAGTTTTGAAAAGCAGCCATAAACCATACGCCCCACTTGCAGTTTATTTGTCATGAGCTTGCAAGCGCCCCGGCACACTTAGCGAAGCACACAAACAAAGGCGACGGCAGCATGTCATAAGTCACAAAATGTCATTTGAGCGGGGAGGATACTGCTGTAGGCTGTGCACAGTGTTTTGATGAGCAGCCTGGCGCAGGTCGATGTCACGCCTCAGGCCATGGGTCTATGTCGGCGCCGCGTCGCCATAGCAGCCCCAGCTCGCGAGGACCGCGGATTTGGAAGGTGAGGTGGTCGAGCCGCTCGACGGGTTGTCGCGTTCAGCCAGACCGCGTTCAGAAGCCACGTTCAGCCAGACTGCTTTCAGTTCCGGAGCCAGATGGGGCTGTCGGTCTACGTGCTCTGCGAGGTGACCACATCCTTGCAGAATAGAGAAAGTCAACTCCACCAGCTTTACGGGCATTGCCGTGTATGCTGAGCAACGCGGCATTGTTAAATCGGTTAGTTTCAGCACACGCGAGCACTACTGTATCTTCATTCGACACGTCAAATATCACGTCCTTATCTTAAGATGTTCTTAAAGCAAGTTCTCGCTCTTGAAGGTTTGTGAATGGCACCGAAAAGTATTCAAAATGGCTCTTTTAGTCCAAAACCCCATATGAATGTGGAACACTCCTTTTAAGCACCGATGCACACAAGATTATACATGGGTTTCCTTATTCATGGGAGACGAGTTCTGAAAATGATTGGGGGGGGGACAGATTTGCGGAAGTCGTAATGAGAGAACACAGTCAAAAACTTCTCGGATTTCATGCCTAATGCTCTGTTATCAGTTTTATAATATATATATATATATATATATATATATATATACCAGTAGAGAGAGAGAGAGATATATATATATATATATGTATATATATATATATATATATATGCGTGTGTGTGCATATGTATCTGTATATAGCACCCGCCATACCAATGTCATGCGCAGTGCAGGTTGATTTTGTAACGGTGTTGTTACTTGAGATGGCCTTTCAGTTTTCATACAGTGATACTTACGTTCGCATGTTCGGTGCCCAATGAGCGTACCAGTGCGGGGACGAGCCAGCCAGAGTCTTGGTAATTGGGGGGTGGGGGGTGGGTGGGACACAGGGTTGACCAAGCTCTCTCCCTGGGTAAAGGCTTTAACCCAAAAAAAGAAGTTGTCGGGTAACGCCCACTTCATTTCAAACAGAGCCCTGCCCTTTTTAAAAAAGAAGAAGTCACCAATAGATACAATGCTGTTTGCATTTCGGCATCAATAAACTGAAAACAGTACACCGGTGCCAGTCACTT